TTGGGAGAAAGCAGCCGACGAAATTGTCAACTGCACGTTAGTTGTGTTATTTTCAGTTATGAATGTGAATGAGTGAATGAAGTGCCTCAGAAATTAATGTATTGCTTCTTCCAGAAGTGTTCTGGTTTAGTAGTAATCTCATCTGAAAGCGCACTCTAAATTTCTTGTTTATTGAATCTGACGTGCAGCCGAACACGGCTCTTTTTTGGAAGCCGTATTCAAGGTGGTTGGAAATATTTTCAGAGATGATGAGTTTCCGACGGTTTATCGTGCAATGGAAAGTGGCTATGCAGCTGGAGAGGACGTACACAACGCACGTGTGTTGAGTGGGTATGATACTCGCGAAAGTTCACAATATCTACAAACGGCTCTTAAAAGCGGTGTCCAGTTGTCGAAAGCACAATTCTATTCATACGGTTTGTTTTCATGGTTTTTATAACCCGGGTGGAATTCATCCAGTCTCGTTTGTATGCCCACAAGATTTTCACCATTGATCACGAAATCAAAGCAGTGTCTCTGTGTTTAAAATTCTACGATGTCGCAAAATAATCAAACAGTCAAATCGTTGCTATTATTTCAGATCTGTTAACGACACCTCAATTACACTATATTGTGCGTTGCGAGAACGATGCTGAATATGGTTTCCGTGGTGAGGAAGGATATTATCGGACATTCAGCAGTGCATTCAATACGATGCTTAAAGTTAGTTTCTATTGAGATTCATTTTGATTATTAGTTATTACATGTGTCATATCGCTGAACCATATCCAGAAATTTTTATTGTTATGAACGTAAAGAATAACACCTGAAAAGGCTCCAAACATAGATAAGTTCGTTTGCTAATATGCGTTGTTTATCTCATGTAAAGGCATTGGTCAGTAAATTTTTCTCTTTGCATTAATATTCTGACCGTTTCCCAGATGAAATAGTACGTAAAGGTCATCTTCTTAAGAAATGTGAACATTCAAATTCAGATCACCGAAAAAGGGGAGAACTACAAACCGAAT